TTGGCTATAAAATAGTGAGGAGTTGTAAATTTTACCGCAGACGCTCCTGATAGTAACAAAACAGCTACAATTTAAAGAATTACGCGTTCTCAATTAGTAAAATTTGAAATTAAAGGAAACTACTAAGACAAAAGAAAATAAAATGGAGATTTTTATATATATGGAAATATAAATATGGGGGGACTAACCGCTTTTACCGCTATGCCAGATCAGATCAGATCGGACGGTCCAAAAATTGAAAATTAAAAGGCCTTATTTTTTCCTATATTAGTCTCACCGGTGCATGAAAATCCCCGCCAGCCAAATATTGCACGTGCCAGATAGACCTAACACATTTGGGGGAAGGCTATTTCGGTCATTTCGATCTCCTTACCTTCCCAACCCACCTTCTACCGCAAGCTACAATGCCCTAACCATCCTTCCCTTCCCTTTCCAAGCCATATAGCCAACCAACCCAACCTTCGCTTCCATTGTGCCACGTCAATCGACCTCGAACTTGCCACGTCAACAGTGGTCCCCACCCACACGGACATGCCACACTCTCTCCTCCTCCGAGTATATATATAGTCCCCACCCACAAAACCCCTCCATGTGAAATCTCCCTCCGCCTCTCTCTCTGTTTCTCTCTGCGTGATTTATTTTTCACCGAAATCTCGAACGAGTTAATAACTGAGAGGAACACCAGTGCATAATAAAAACGCGATATTTCGGTTTCGGAATACGAAAGAACACAGTTTATTTCGGGCTCAGTGTGACATAGATGGCGATGGCGGTTGGGCCAGCTGCGTCGCCGACTGATGGAGCCGCTCCGGTGCTGGGACCCGCAATGATGCATATGCAGATGCCGGTGCCGGCCCCGGCGGCGATGGTCTCGGACGCCATGGCGAAGGACGCTATTATCGGGTGGTACCGAGGCGAGTTTGCGGCCGCGAACGCGATCATCGACTCACTCTGCAGCCACCTGACCCAGCTCAGTGGCGGAGGGGCTGAATACGGCGCCCTTTTCGCAGCGATACACCGGAGGAGGATCAATTGGATCCCGGTGCTCCAGATGCAGAAGTATCACTCAATCGCCGATGTGATGGTTGAGCTCCGAAACGTCGGAGCGAAAAAGGCGGAGAAGGATAGTGAAGAAAACGGGGAGGCTTCAGGAACCGATGAAAATTGTAAGAGCGAGGAGGCTAAGTCGTGTTTGGACGAGGAGAAAGAGAAGGAAAATGAGAAAGTGGAAGAAAGTAATGGAAATGACGCTGCCGATGAGGCTATCGAAGAGGAGGCTTCTCCGGATAGCGAGATTACTGATTCAGGTAAGTAATCTGATTCCTTTTCTTTAAAGATAGGATTTTTATTACATAATTCTGAATTTTGATACGAAAAGGTATGATTTTTATGTTTGATTACGATGGATTTTTGTGAATTTATGATGAAATATTGTGTTTCTTTGACTGAGTACTGAGGGAGATTAGCAGCATGGCTCTAAAGCTTTGATTTTGTTTGTTCGATTTTTGGTTGATCAGATATCTGTCTACAGGTGTGTTTGAATTTCCGATTCTTCAAAAACGGGAAGCTACGTAGCTGTAGCTGAGAAAGTACTGATTTTCCGGTTTTCTGAATTTAGGCCCATTTGGTTGGTGAGAAAACGTAAGGAGAAGAAATGAAGCTCTGTTTGGAATCTGGAAATCTTTCCCCTGTTTGGTCTCCGAGAAAAAAAAAAATGATTTTGTTAGATAATTTTCTCTGATTACAAACGTATATTATTATTTTAATAAGTATAAAAACAGCGAAGTTTCCTTTTCTGTCCATTATTTTAGGAGGCAAACGAAAACATGTTTTTCTCCATCAGATCCGAGATTCAAAGCCCGTTTTCCATTTCCTCTGGCTCTGGCTTTGGCTTTGGCTTTGAATTCAACGTTCCGTTATAGACAGTGATAGATTTCTTTTTGACGTTTCGATCCTTCTGATTTAAAACCTTAATCTCTCTGTTTTATAATTTTGTTTTACTAAATTCTCAACCGGAAAAAAGAACATAAATAAATAAATAAATAAATTTTATATGGTTTTTTTGTGGCTGGTATTTTCCCGAGGTTTTAGGGGGGTTTGAGATTCTCGAGGTGAGGGAAAGGTTTGGATGCACTCGGTGTCACAGTTAGTTTCGGGGATTGGGGAATCGCCTTTCAACTATCAAGTTGAAGTAATGACGTCGAGATGCGTGCCGTTTGATTTAATTGTAGGCGGCGCTCGATCAGAGCCGTGTCTTAATACACAGTTGACGTCACGGGTTCGTTTCGTTGATTTTTAATCAGAGGGCGGAGGGTAGGTGGGCTTTGACAAAAGTTTGGGTGGTCATCCCAACATTAAAATATACTTTTTTAAGTCCGGGTGTGGGCCGGACTCGCTTGATATTTACCGAGTTGCCTTACCGGGTCAACTCAGGGGTCATTATGTTTGGGCAGCCGAATAAGTTATTCGAGATTCTGAAATGTTGAGTGGAGCTTTTTAGTGTTTTTTTGTTTGTTATTGTGTCCTGCCTCTTTGGTCGAGCTTGTTGGTGCGCGTGGTGAGCAGTAAGTGAGTGATAGCTTTTTGCCTGCTTTGTTGTAAAAGCACCAATGAACGGCGTGTTTGGATTTAAGTGAGCATTTATATGGTTGTGCAAACAACTTTTGTTATAGTGTATAGGGTGGTGCCAACAATGTCATATAGCCATATTCATCCATTCATTGAACTTTGAAGTGATAGAATGCACAAATGCATCATCTGACAAAGATGTGGAATTATTTTATCAGTTTTGAAAGGTCTAGTCTTGGAAATCATTTAAAAATAAGTTACGGGTATGCATTTGGCAAAGATCCCATTTTGAAAACTGAACTAAAAGTTATGTGGATGGGAGTCACTGGAATGTGTTCTGTTTCAAAGCTTTGTGTACAATATATGCGTATTGTGATGTTTTATAGACTCAGGTTTGATATAAACTTGCATCATTTCTGAATAATAGCTATCTCGACAGACTTAGATAAATGCTTGTTTTCTTACTTAATTATACCAACTGGTTTTTGGATCAGTTTTCTGTTTCAATGATTATTTATTTTTCCCTGACAAGCTTTTGTTTATCCGTTATGCAGCAAATGAACACAGGTTTTCGCGTTTGTAAATTCATTTGGTTATCTACTGTTTTTACTGCAGGGTCTCAAGAAGCACGGCTCAATTCAGTAAACGTCGAGATATGCTCTAATCATGAAGAATGTGAGGCCCGTCGTACCGAGATCAAGTTGACAAAAGGTTTCTCTGCAAAGGAGTCGGTCAAAGGGCATATGGTGAGTTATTTATATAATCTTAAGATCACTACAGAAGATGGATGTCAAAGAGTTCTTTCTGTGGTAGTATATTCTGGTAAAGGAAGACCAGGTAGCTGTTACTGACTGACGGATGATTGAAACTGGCAGGTGAATGTTGTGAAAGGTTTAAAGCTATATGAGGACATATTCACTGATTCAGAGCTCTTTAAATTGACTGAATTTGTAAATGAACTCCATGCAGCTGGACTGAATGGAGAGCTCTCAGGTAAACACATCCCCTTTCATTTGAAGCTCATTCTTGTTACTCAACTGACTTTATGCACGTTGTAATTAATGCTGTTTTGATAGCAAGATTTGGTAAGCCATGTAGTTAGACTCATTTGAACCTGTATAGTTGATCATTTTTATTTTAGTTTTTATTTTGTTGAATCTGGTCTTGTGTACTGCTCTATTATAGGTTTTTCTAACTTATACCATCCCAATGCGATCAGATGTGTCACCATTTTTATATAAAAAAAATCTTTCAAAGTTTAAGCACTAAATCATTTCTACTTAAATGAGAGTAACCGGTAATTTTATACATTGTTGGTAGTCATACAAAAATCTAATTTTATCTTCCTGATTGAATACAGGTGAGACCTTTATCTTATTCAACAAGCAGATTAAGGGAAACAGGAGAGAGCTGATTCAGTTTGGTGTTCCAATTTTTGGACAGATCAAGGAGGAAACTACAAGTAATAATCGATACTAGTAATACATACTACAACTATCTAATAAATTTGGTTCAATTTGTCAAAATTTTGGTCTGGTTCTTATCAATGATGCAGTCTATGCAGTGAATACTAAATTCCAAAGCTAACTTTAATTTGACATTTGTCTTTGTAGGCAATATAGGGCCAATTCCAGCTCTTCTCCAAGATGTGGTTGATCACTTTGTACTGTGGCAACTAATTCCAGAGTATAAAAGACCAAATGGTTGCATCATCAACTTCCTTGAGGAGGTATTCTATGTTTTGCTGCATTATCATGTTACCTCCTCTGTTATTGCTTACTAGAACATAGCTGCAAAGAGGGCGCTTCACACGATTGGTTTGTGTTATGAGTCTTGGTTTATGCACTTTTGGTTCAATTTTAAGAGACAAACAAATGAAATCACAATTATTTATTGTGTAGGGAGAATATTCACAGCCATTCCTGAAACCACCCCATTTGGACCAGCCCATCGCCACTCTTCTCCTCTCTGAATCAACAATGGCTTTTGGGCGCACCCTTCTGAGTGATAATGATGGGAACTACAAGGGGCCGCTGATGCTCTCACTGCAAGAAGGGTATGTATTCTTATTTCTTTTGAGTTTCAATTACATATCTATCAACTGTGGCTGTGATTGGGATGGATCAATGGTGATGGAAAGCACAAACATTGAATGTAACTTCTGCAGGTCTCTTTTAGTTATGAGGGGAAACAGTGCCGACATGGCAAGACACGTCATGTGTCCGTCTCCAAATAGAAGGGTGAGCATCACATTCTTCAGAGTCCGAGTAGACTCCAACCAATTCCAGTCACCACCAAGTCCAACACAGAATGGTGCCATGACTCTATGGCAACCTGGCGTTGCGAGTCCATATGCAGTGCAAGATGGAGCTCTCAATGGCTATGAGGGAATGGATGTAATGCCCAAATGGGGTGTCCTTCGGGCTCCAGTGGTCATGCTGGCCCCAGTTCGGCCTATGGTATTGAGTCCTCGAAAAGTTCCTCCAAGTGGTACTGGGGTTTTTTTGCCCTGGACTGTGGGATCAAGAAAACCAGCAAAGCATCTCCCACCTCGTGCCCAAAAAGGACGGCTTATGGCGCTCCCGTCCCTGCCAGAAACACAAGCGGGTGAGTCCACTTCTGAGCCAGGCATCAGTGTGTAATGGAAGAGCATCAGTATGAAGTTTGTCAGAGGCAGCCCTGGGTCCAACGATATGAATCAGAAAAGTTAGCATTCATGTTCACATCCTTGTTCTGCAGGATTTTTCTTGTTGTACAAACAGAGCCTAGGTGCTGTTAGAGGAGTCTGTTTTTCTTTTTTCAATTTGCTTTCCCCCTTATTTTCCTCAGTAAGATTAGGGTGCTAGCGCGATGGTTACAGTACTTTTTCTGGGATGCCGATCATGTTAGGGCTTCAGAGGTAGTTGAGCATCAAGTTTGTGGAGTGTGAATTAGCTCAAGTAAGGAGCTGAATTTTGTATTAAGTTACGCTAAAGGATTTCATAGACAGGTTATATATTATTTTCTTTACAGAATCCTATTTTCTTACTAATGTCCAGGTTATGTGAATTAGCATCTGAATGTTTGTTGCATTCCTAAGAGGACACAAATTAATGTGCAAACAACCAATTAAAAATACCCGCAAGTGCACGGATCTATCGAAGTATAGATTATGTAAGTACGGGGTCGATCCCACGAAGAACTTGTCGGCTTCCTATAAGTTCTAATTTGAGTACGTAAAGAACACTTAATTGACACACCACAAATGCAAAATGGAAACTAAAAATGAGTAAAGAAGTGTAAAAGAAATGAAACAATACAAGAAAACTAGAGAAAAACACAAACAGCACTTTCTATCACCCTTTTATCACCATTTGGACAGATTCGTTTTTCTATTTTTCCAGTTTCGACCTCTGTCCAGTGTTTTGCCTATAACTTTCCAACCGTTTATCCAAATTTCACGTTCTTTATACGGTTGGAATCAGCACAGAAAATGGAAGAACACAACGAGGACCAAAAGTCCAAAACAGTTACTAAAATAAACAGAATTCAGTAAACAAGACACACAACGTATCAAACACACAACTCACACACACATTAGGGGGGAGGGGTTTTGGTTTGGTTCAAGTGACCTATTTCTATTGCATGAAAGTAAATGGACTTTGAATTTAAATGAGAATAGCAGAGATGAATTATCAAATTGTGAAATTAAAATGTAACAAACACTAGGGTTTCGGAATCCACCCTAAACAATTCTACCAAAGTTCATGAATACTCAAGTGATGAACTCTAAATGTGTTGATGAAGATGTTCGCAATCAAGACCATGGGTCGTGGCTCAAGACGCATTGATCCTCTCTAATATACGTAAAGTGCATGGTTCGTGCTACAATACTTGTGCCCTCCCCATAACCGAACCTAGGTATGGTTCGTACTTCGATTCAATTACAAGGAGAACCCATTAAGTTCAAAGAGAATATGAACATCACAAGAATCCTAATAGCATGGTGTTTACATTAGGGATTCAAGAAACCAATTCACATGGATGATTCTTACTTCATCCATTTATTGCTTAGGATAACATGAAGATACACATAACCCCAACAATCTCAAGAAGCATGCTTTCAAAGAAGGCCAACCAAGGAAAAACACACATCAAGGATAGATTAATTTGGTGAATTGGAATTCATCAATTGTTGTCAAGAAACCAATTCACATGATGCTCACTTAAACAAGTTCAACCATTTGTTGCTAATTAGAAATTGTGTTCTTGGTTATCTTACACAACTTCTCAACTTTAGCTACATGCATACAACCTAAGGTGATTAAGCAAAGGAAGCAAACACATATCATATCCTCCACCAGTGGGGCAAATATGCATGTTTTCCACATGACACTCAATATCAATGCCACACCAAGGAGTCAATGACAAGGGATTAGGTTATAATCATGCACCAGACTTTTCTGTTGACAGTGAGAAGTCAGGATTGAATTGTTTGTTGCCCTGGACATCTTTTGTTTAGTAGTGTTAAATGCCATAGAAGAAACACTTCATACTTGGAACTGGGAGTTGGACATTATATACTCACACAATACAGTTTTAATCCATACACATACCAGAATATTTCCAAAAATAAGAAAATGCATAACAGAAGGCAACCAATGTGTCTAATTTTTTTCGCCAAGTAATGGTCACAAATTCACAGTTCACAAATTACGGCAAAGTAATGCTTTTATAGACAAGGCTGGGTTCAAGACTTCAACTTGACAAATTCAGATGCAAAGGAACATATTTGCATTTTGAACCAACTGATAGAAAAGAAAAGAAAAAAGAATTCCCCCTGTACATTATATCACAATTACACGAATAGATTTGGGGGAGAATACAGAATTTAGTGCACTAAATTTTAAAAGCAACAACTTTAAATTCAATTGCCAATCAAGGTTTAGCTGGTTCATCATCTTCATCCTCGATATCCCAGCTCAAGTCTTCTTCTTCTTCTTCTTCAGCAGTGCTGAGCCGCTTCCGCAAGTCAGCTTTATTAGAACTTCCACTTCCAACATGGGTCACCTTCTTTTCATCAATGCTGCTAAGATCCTCAATCTCATCCCAGCCAAGGTCTTCTTCCTCGGGCGCTGAGGACCGGTTTGAAACAACCGAAGCATCGCCAGATTCAAGAGCCTCATTCTTCCCCTCCAAAGCCACTTTCTCCTCAGACCTCGATGGCAAATCTTTCTTCCCAGAGTCCCCTTCTACAATAACTTTCTTTTCAGTCTCCTTATCACCACTCAACTTCACAGCACTATCCTTCTTCTCTTTATCCATTTCAGGGCTCTTCCCTCCCTTCTCATCAACAACACTGGAAGAAGTCCCAGCAACTTGAGATTCCTCAACAGAGCTGCTCTCTTCCTTGACATTCATTTGCTCAGAATCTTTGCTGACCAACTCCCTATTCGCCGCTAAATCACCCTTCTTCGACCCCACATTAGGCTCTTCACCCACACTGCTCACCTCTCCCACATTAGAGGAACTCTTATCACCAACCTCACTATCAACCTTCAAGTCCTCAACTTTCTCAACTTTACCAGAAGCAGCCCCTTCAGTATTTTTCGCTGAATTCGCTTTCGACACCACATTGCTCACACTTTCATCATACTCTTCATCATCAACATCCCAACTCAATTCCTCATCTTCTTCAATCAAAATTGCCCGCTTAACAAGATTGGCTCTAACATCCTCAGCTTGCCTGAGCTTATAAACCCTGTAAAAGTACCTACACCAAAAGGTTTCATGATCAACACTACTTGGAACGACCCTTTTGTAAATGCTCTCCATAGCTCCATTTTCTTCAAACAGCCCCTCAATTTCTTCACTTTTGTCTTCCAAAACAAACCCTGATTTCCATTTGTTAAAGTCATCCAAATCCTCAGGTTCCTCACAGTAAGTTCCGGCGTCACCTTGAATCGCACGGACCTGAACGTCAAACCTACTGTACCGTTTCGAATTCAAGCCCTGCTGAGAGCTAAAGCTCTGACTGTTGGGATCGGAGGAATCTGATTCGTGATCAGGGGCGAGGATCGCGTCCGTACCTTGAGAGATAATCTGGGCCGTCCCTTTCAAGACGGTGTTGCCAAACTCATCAATGACGCTCCCAACTGTCTCCAACGACCCCTGAGCCACCTCAATCTCTTTCTTCAGACCCGACCCAAATTCTTGGAGGTCGCGACGGTAGGTCTCGATCACCGACTCGGATTTGGTCGCTAGGGTTTTGATAAGATCGCCAAACATCCACCCGCCACTATTGCCACTTGGGTTTGGATCGGGTTGGCTTGGTGGGGATTTCGAATCTGCGTCTTCTTGTTCTGGGTTCTTACGAGACCCGGGTTCAGATTCGGATTCGGAATCCGGATTTGGTGGATCTGGTTCATCAGAGAATACGGACTTGAAGAAATTCATGGAGGACTTTTTGGGGAAGCAGAGAGATTGAGAATTACCAGAAAACGAGAGAGAGAAAAAGAGGTTGGAGTAGGACTGAGGTTATCGAAATGGAAATCTAGGAAAAATGCCTGAACGGTGCGCTCTGGTGCGCAGTGCGCATCAGCGAGGGTGGTTTTCAGGCTGATATATGGGCTCATCTTAGCATCCAAATAGCGAATTGATTGGTTTTGGATCGCAGGCTCATCTATGTCTATGGGCCTATGGATTGAAAGCCCATGGGGCTATGGATTGTAGGACCATGAGTCTATCGCTTATAAGCCCATTGCGCTTGCAACAGAATACCCAAAATGAAATGAGGCTATAATGTGAGGATCCTTAATAATAGCCATCCGATCAACAAAAAATGTTAAAATTTAATAATTTTATTATTATTGGACGGTTGGATTGAACTCCTCAACATAGCCTCGTCGGTATAGAAGCTCCCCGAAAATGGTGAGAATTGTTTGCAATCTTTCATAGGTCTTGTAGTCTTAGACCATATTCCAATTGAGAAGCTATAACAAAGCATCTCAAGTCTCAAGGTTTAAGGAAGTATGTGAAAGTAACATTCTTCCCTTTGGTTTGGATTAAAAGACAAAAGCATTCATTCTTCCATCAAAGTAACATTATTCTTTACTTTTGGTTACCATGTTTCCAAGCATGGAATCACACATCAAATCATCCCATCACTTTTTAGTTTGTTCAATGCATAGAAATCTCCATCTCACCATTTTTAGCCTCTAGCTAGGAGCTCTTCTTCTCTAGCGTTTTCTCCTTTGAAAACCAAGCAGCAATGCAGGAGAAAGGCAACCCTTCCCAGCCTATTGGCATCTGCCACAGGCTCATCACCTTCATCATGAACAGCCACATTGCTAGAAGCCTTGTCAAGCGTGTGACTTTAGGCCATCCAATTCCTCAAGACTTACAGCCTGTGATCCCAGCAGCCAGCCCTGATGGGGCTGGTCAGACTATGTACCTTCAGGCTCCCCAGACACCGGAAAACGAATCAGTTTTTGAGATTCAAATTCACTACAAGCAAACCGATGAGGACTTTGAAGAATCATGGACCCAAGTTGACAAGTTGGGTCCAATAGAGAGAACAGAGGAGGCAGAGATTCAAGACAAGGGTCCACGAGAGGTGAAGCTCATTTCCACAGCCACATCCCAAGAAAAGGAGCCAAAGAAGAGTTTGAGCATTGAAGATGTGGGACAGTTGGAGAAAGAGAAGAACAATAAGAAGAAAGGAAAGGGTGTGATTAGTGGTGAAAAGTTGACGCTAGCAATGGAGGTTGAAGATGAGATTTCAAGGCTTGGGTTGAGGCGTGTAAGGCCACTCTTTCATGTTGCACCAAACATAAATGAAAAATCAGATGCGTTCATTCGGAGTAGAAAGGAAGCTATGAGGAGGAACTATGGCCTTGAGCCAATGATATCTTAGATTTCTTGGCTACATGTGGCGGTTGGCGTGGTGGCTCGCGGCCGGAGCTGTGCATCCATTGGGTAAGGTTGTCACGATGAATAGGTTGCAAGCAACTATGGTGAAAAGGTTATGCTATAGTTTATGTATCAGAATAAAAAGATTAAAGTAACAATGTTCATTGAATTTTATATAAAGATACATTCTATTGAAGGTTTTCTTAAAAAGGATTCGGATTCTAAGTTTTCTAGTTAAGATCTGCTCTCTATCTGGTAACAAATACATAAGGACGACAAAGTGGGCATTCTAATATATTTTGTTTTCTTTGTTTTCTTGTAGTTTTATATATGACATGCTCATAAATAACACACAAAGTTTATCTTTCAAAACCTTTTTCTTTTTCGGGGTCTGAAAAACCAATTCATATCAGCATTCACTATCGAAATTGCTACGGAAAAGAACTATAACACAATGACAAAAATCAGAAAATTGATATGCAGAATATCCGAGACTGGATATTTTCTAATTGAAATTATCGAGTGGCTCCCATCAAAATGTCGCCAATATAAGCAACCTAACCTTGGTGGTATAAAGACTTAAGCTTTTGAATTAATTTTGGAGGCTCAGCAGTGATTCTAAGTTTTCTAGTTAAGATCTGCTCTCTATCTGGTAACAAATATATAAGGACGACAAAGTGGGCATTCTAATATATTTTGTTTTCTTTGTTTTCTTGTAGTTTTATATATGACATGCTCATAGATAACACACAAAGTTTATCTTTCAAAGCCTTTTTCTTTTTCGGGGTCTGAAAACCAATTCATATCAGCATTCACTATCGAAATTGCTACGGAAAGAACTATAACACAATGACAAAAATCAGAAAATTGATATGCAGAATATCCGAGACTGGATATTTTCTAATTGAAATTATCGAGTGGCTCCCATCAAAATGTCGCCAATATAAGCAACCTAACCTTGGTGGTATAAAGACTTAAGCTTTTGAATTAATTTTGGAGGCTCAGCAGCTCATCATCTCATCAAACTGTAAGACGCTACAAGAAGGTACAAAAAAGACTATCAAAATTAAAAAAACAAACAAACAAAAACTACTTACCAACACAATGTTAGGCTAAATAAACTTAATAATATACACTCCATATATATAGAAATAATGTTCAGAGGGCCGCATAGAAACTCTGGTAAGAGGATCTTCTGGTGATTGAAAGCTATCATACCATGCCGATAACATTCTCAACAGAAGAAGAAAAAGAAAAACTCAAAATAATTTGCAGTCTTCCTCCATGAAATCCTCTCCTCCAAGTATGAATGGCCATAACCATTATAAACAAATATAAGGTTCTTTCTCCTTCTGTAATTAACCAGCTTCAACCCCAAATTAAGTCCAAGTCTTACTTTCCTTCTATAATTTTCTTAAAGTTTTTTTTTCTTAATTGGTCTAAGATAAATTAAAAAAAGGTATAGCACTTACCCATTGATTACCTTCTTGCTCTTCTAATTAATTAAACTCCCTTATCCCCATATTGCCCCAAATTGATCCAATTGAGCCAAAGCTCCACCTCATTACTCATTGCATATATCTTTTCACTTTCATCTCATTCTTCCAAGTAATGAGCTGATGAACGGTAAAGATCATATGGGGCCCAAAGATGATCAACGGTGCAGGGCTTTCTTGAATCTAACCTCAACCAGGGCTTCCCTTTCCCACTCCAATGCAACAGGCTTATAGGCCCAGGATGCAAACTCCTACACTTGCCTTCAAGATTGTCCCCACCAAGCCCATGTTGGTTCCAATTATGATCCACTGCCCTAATATCCCCAGCCAAAACCAGCAAAAAAGGTGGCAAAGACCCCAAATGGTATATCCTCTTTTGCTTTTGCACTACCATCCACTCCTCCATTTGCTTTGTGTACTCCCCTTGTCTCCATTTTTCCACATCCACCACCATAACCCCTGTGTTAAAATAGCAAGGCTTTCTGCCTTCAAATGTCTTGGAAAACATTTGGTCTGACCAGAACGATTCTGTGAAATATTTGGAAAAGTTTGCGTGACAATATTCTGGTGCAGCCAGTACCTTGCCTTGCAAGTCAACCTTCCATAACTTTGCTACATCATCCACAACCACAAGGTCTGAGTCTAGGTATAGAACCCTTTTCACATCAGCTGGGATTATGTCAGCTAGGTATATGCGTGCGTAGTTTAAGGGTTGGTCCAAGGCTTGGCGTATAGACTTTGATATTTTCCCACGAACCCTATTGGAATCAAAGCGGTAGACATTGAACTTTAGGTATGGGAAGGCGGATTTGATGTTGGAGAGTACCTCAGGCTCGAACCTGGCCCAGAGAAAGTGGAACTCAACAAACTCGGGGCACGTTGAATGTTGCAAAATCGAAAGCACAGCGGCCATGGTGCCTCTTAGGTAGTTAGAGTCCAGTGTCATGGCAATGTGGATTTTCTCTGCAGGCTGGCAGGCATCCCCATTTCGAAAAGCAGGGGCTTCTCGGAAGATGGCAACATCCGGGGAGGGTTTCCGGATGATGCCAAGGCGGATACCTGTGGTGGCGGTAGCGAGGGTGATGAGGGGGAGGATGAGGAGGAGAGACAGGAGGCCACGAGTTTTTGCAGAGGCCATCCTGCCCTTAATGGTAACAAAAGCGGTTGGGGGGGCAAGGATGAAGAGGAGGACCAGGGAGAGTGGTAGCCATTACTAGGCTGGTTGAGAGAAAGTTTAGGGGGAGAGGTTAGAAACTAATGATTGTTATACAAATATTTGGTGGGATTGTGAGGAAGAGAAGATTCCTCGGAGGCTTTGTAATAAGGTTAAGGTACCACCCCATGTCACAAAATCATGCGCATAGCTAGGGCAAATTATCCAAAATTATTTATGTTCGTAATTAATTTTATTTCTTGATTTGAATTTTTTAGTCCGTTTGATATCTACCTTCCATATTTTTTTGCCTCCTTATCCTTAAGAGGGCAAGAATGCCAAATTTTGACTGATAATAACATCTTTCGTACTTGGATTTTCACAAAGACATTCTCTAGTCAAACAATAATCAAAGTTTTTGACATTCATAATGGAACTTTTGGGGTTTTTTTTTTCTTGCCTCTTTGTTCTCTGAGCAAAGATCATAGTGTCAGGCACCTTTCTTATGTGCAAGGCAAGTTTTAATTAGCATGGATACATGCTTAATTCCTAAGGGCACACCAATTTTTTTTTATATCCTTTTCCGGTTACAACAAATAGCAAAAGTACTTCCTACATAAGCAGTTCCAAACGAGCTTTAAGCTCTAAAGCATAATAGTAACTGTAGTCTGTAAGCAACATAATATATCAGTACAAAAAATGTAAACCTTATTAAAAAAAAAAAGATAATAGAAAAATGCAACCAATATTTGGTGCTTGAAGTTCTATAGTGTCTGAACTTAGCAAGGCCCCGAAGTCCATTCCAATGTGGGCTTCTTTTTATCATTTGTTTATTGGGTCTAAAAATGTTGAGAGCCTTGGGTCCATGCAATGATCTAAAACTCAGGCTAGGGTTCAGCTAGGGGTTTTCGTCTCTCTCTTCCACTGTGAGAAAGATGAGAGAGCTACAGCTTTCGTTGAACCAAACCCAGAAGGTTCGGCTACAGAGAGCTCTCGAAAAGCTTGAGTCTTTGTCTTCAAAGGCCAATTCCAATGCTTCTGTTACTGTCGCCGATTCAATCCCTGTTAACTACGAAGACGGCCTTCTCAAGTACCTCTCTTCTCTCTGCCTCTAAATTGCTTGGCATGAATTTGAACTTGGGTTTTCTTTCAATTTTGATTTTTCTTCGTAAAACCGTTTCTGGGTAACTTAGTTTTCTTGTAAATTCAGGGGACATGGGACCTCTGAATTCAATGGTGAAGTTGTTGCCACCGTTTGCGGTATCGTCGAGCGCGTCAATAAGCTGGTCTATGTGCGTGCTTTAAGGGCCAGGTACTCACTAATTCACTGTGTTACTTTTTTTATTTTTGGTGTGATAATTTTTATGGAAACTTTGCTCATTGGTGCTTATGGAATTATCAAAAAACAAAAATGATGGTAGGTACAAGCCGGAGGTTGGAGATATCATAGTGGGGCGTGTTATTGAGGTAAAAGAATGCTTAACTCCCTTTTAGTTAATTTTGTTTAAAATTTGATTATTGATGCTTTGTTTTCTTTGTTGAGATATGTTTAGTTTTACGGGTCTTGTTATAATCTGATAATTGTTTATTGTTCAGGTTGCTCCAAAGCGTTGGAGAGTGGAGATAAACTATAGCCATGATGCAGTGTTGATGCTTTCTTCAATGAACTTACCTGACGGCATCCAGGTATAACTGTTAGCCCGAATTGGTAACATGCATCAGTAGTGATAAATTTCCTTTACCAGAGAAGCAAGCTAACTAGTAATGGTGATATTGACGATATTGACACAAAGCACGGAGTTCTGTTCTATGGATTCATGTAAATCTGTTAAATGGTCTGGTTTTCTTTGTTTGAACTCTTGTTTATCAATCTGAAGGCTGATGCAAATTGTGAGTTGGAAGTATGGAAATTCTTTCCTTTTGATCCGCTAAATTCTGTTTCTTTAGATAACTAGTGGATATTCCACTGACTGGGAAAAGATGTATGAGTATTAGTATTACATGAATATAGTTAGAGAGCATCTTTTGGCATTTTTAAGGGAAAACACATTTGAGCAACTCTGATATTAAAGATACTCTCATTCTAATATAAAAAGTAAGGAAAATTGCTCCATTTTCCCTTGCTATTCCCTTGTTTAAGTTTTACTCTTTCATTGCTAGAGGCGACGAACTGCTCTGGATGAACTCAACATGCGCAGCATTTTTGAGGAGAATGATGTCATTTGTGTAAGTCCTCTAACATATATTACTGGCCTAATTGAATCATGAAAAAAGAAAGGAATAAGTTAAGAACTGATCTAGTGTTGCAAATACTTGCCCTTTTCCAGGCTGAAGTTCGTGGTTTTCAACATGATGGTTTACATCTCCAAGCAAGAAGTCAGAAGTATGGAAAGGTTTGTCTTCTTTATATATATTGACTGTTAGAAGGATGCTTCTGATAATTATCTTACCTGAGCTCGCTTATCTTGCATTCTATTTGGCTGTTATGGGTGATTTTTGTCGTCATTATTGCTTCCCTCAATCAATTTTAATTTGCATTGCTTTCTTTGCATCCATCCGAGGTGGTCTATTGATTATCCATTATTTTGTTATTGGTTTTCATTATGATTGTAACCTGCATTGCAGCTTGGAAGGGGTCAATTGCTGACAGTCCCTTCTTATCTAGTGAAAAGACGCAAGCAGCACTTCCATAATTTAGAAAACTATGGTATTGACCTGATAATTGGCTGTAATGGGTTCATCTGGGTTGGGGAACATGTTCAAGTGACAGACGATATGGTAGTGGATCAAGTGAACAAGTCTGAACAAGATGATGCCAAACCTGATGAAAATTCCTTTAGTCCCGAATATCAAGAGAAAAACTACACTCGGCAAGAGACAAGAGAGAACATATGCAGGGCTGCAAATGCTATCCGCGTATTGTCTACTTTAGGCTTCAATATTACTGTAGAAGTAATCACGGAGACGGTTGATTTGAGCACTTCTATAAATGTTGCTATACATGAAATGCTCGGTTCAGAGTTCTATGTTTTGGTTGCAGAGAAGGAGTCTGTAAGGCGAAGCATGACCAAAAAAAAGTGATGACTGTGTGTCCACTTGTGAATTCTGTTATAAGAGAGTTGTTCGTCCTTAATCCTTTTCTTTTCTCTTTATATTTTACACAATCAAACGTATTTTTGGAGAACCAGTGAACAGGAGTTATATTGATGTCTAAAACGTTTGACTACCTCTGAGAATTGTATTACTGCTTGTAAAAACAAACAAAAATTGAAAATTGTATTACTGCTTGTAAAAAAGGTTTTGGCTTGGAAATGTACATTGAATAGCTTGTGAGAATAATTGCTACATTAGAGATCCAGTAATATATCACGTCTCCACAATTCAAGCAAAAACAAGCTCTGATATTGTGACCAAAAGTACCAATTCAGCATATGCATCTGAAAACTTTAAAGTCTACAACCTTGTCCATTCTCTCAAAAGATAATGAGACTAGATACTCTACAATGCAATGTTTCTCAGATATCATAGCTTGTCCTTTGGCGGCGGTTCGACTTCAAGGCACTCTTCATTCCAGTAGTAGGGGAACTTTAATTTTGCTGCAGCGTGAGGCGCGAACCAGTCCTTGTATATGAACCAGAAACCAAGGAAAGAACTTAGAAGCATCATTCAAGCAAAATGAAAAGGTAAAAAATAAAACGTAGAAGTGTAATAAAATTGAACCACCTTAGCAATCCAAAAAAGAAGAAATAAATAACCTAGAATGAGAAAATGAAAGAATGTGTCTGCATATCGTGGTCCTCTTTTTGGATAATGAACATGAAGCAATTTCAAGAAGTATAGATAATAGTAAACATTGAAGATGAAAGAAGATAGATTGCATACACTTTAACTGGGGGACGCCTTTTCACTTGTATGCAGGCTTCAACATTGTCTTGCTTTATGTGTATCAGCTACCTCTTTTACTTTCTACATCATGGTACGTCTATCTTTTATGACATCTACAAAACCAGTGACTTCAGCATCTCTACAGTGTAGGTTCTGCAAGTTGATCATGTAAGAACCATGGAGATTTGGAATATTTTAGAACACAGTTTATGTAGCAGGATACTTGAAAACCAGTGAATATATTCGAATAATTTACAAGTATAGCCGCGGGGCTATACTCTCTGAATGTATTCGAAAATTTTGTAAGTATAGCCGCGCGGCTGTACTCTTAAAATATTATATTTAAAAGGTATAGCCGAGCGGCTATACACTTTGAATATATTCAAATATTTTAAAAGTATAGCGGCCCGGCTACAATTAGAAATCCAGTAATATATCACGTCTCCACTGCTCAAAGCAAAAACAAGCTCTGATATTGTGACCAAAAGTACCAATTCAGCATATGCATCTGAAAACTTTAAAGTCTACAACCTTGTCCATTCTCTCAAAAGATAATGAGACTGGATACTCTACAATGCAATGTTTCTTGGATATCGCCCTGTTCCGGTTGTGTTCGCTGCACAGTCCAGTTTCTTAAAAGGTTAGCTGCACTTCTCTGCGTTTCTTCTTCTTCTTCTTCTTCTTCTTCT